ATCATTTTTCGCATTCAACTATGTTAATATAAAATAATGCTTGGAAAATGTCCTGGGCCGGAAAAATATCATCCGGGCCGGAAATAAACCTAAGGCTCGGTCCTTGTGCCTGAAAAAAAAAATTGACTTTCGCATAGGGACTGTTTAAGAAATTGCACTTACTTTTAAGCTGAATAGAATTCCTATGAATTTCGGAATAGATAATTTATAAATGTCCTTCTGAAGATTCCTTCATTGCCAGTATCTATCCAGTTCGTTAGACCCGATTTTTTTACTTCGAAACTCCTAAATGACATGACTCCTACAAGTACATTTATGTCAAATGATGATCCAGATTTTTTAAACTATAATGTCCGTCTCATTAAAACATTGTTCAATTTGTGGAGTTATTCTGGGTTAGCAAATGAAATATGTAAATGAAACACATCAAATTCATTATGTTCCAAATCCATAATTCAAGACGGCCCATCAATTTTAGTTGTCAACATCACAATGCTTTAACTCTTGAAAAATGGATTCCAGACGAAAACTTTATTACGTCAACAACAATTTACGAAAATATATGACGTAAACAAAAATGCCTCGCGATTCCAGTTGCAGGGCATTACAGGGGCCCCTAGGCATTAGTAACCTTAAAACAATAATTTTTACGTTGAGATAATTGTCTTGAGGAATTTTAAAAAATTTTTTGTTACCAGATTTTGCAACTTAACGAAAAATACACTTTCAATTCATTATATGAAATAAAATTTTTGATAACATTTAATCATCTAGTAATTTTAATCACACTTAAATGACATTGAATCTACAACAGTACAATACCTTCTTTCCATTAATTTACATGTACATTCGTTTTGATTTTATGTTTTTAAACTATTTTACATATTTTCAGAAATAATTCCCTAATCTATAAATCTTAGTTTTTCTGATTCTGTAAATCCTACTATTTTAGCTCAAAAAATACAATATCCGTATTTTTCTCCCTGCGAAAAATATGCTAGATCTATTGTTTTTCACTGAATTTTTTTTAAATTTTAGGAAGGCTAAAATTATGAGAAGTCACTCGGTGTTTTCTTTTTTGACTGATCTCCCCTTATATTAAAATAATAATTAATGTAACACTTGAGTCTTATAAAAAACCACTTATTGTCGCTTATTTAACATCCAAATTCAATTGATTCAAACTTATTCTTAATAAGACAAAATCAGGAAATCACTACATTTTGTTGAATTGTGAGACGGAAGTTTTAAATTTGTATTTACAAACTTAAAGTGTAATATAGGCCTACGTTTGATTGCTCAAACTAAAAAGCATGATATTATATTATTTCTTATAATTTTATACATTTCCTCGAAACGCGAGTCTTTGTTTCTCTCATTAGCCCCCCCCCAGGGAGTTGTTAAAGTAGCACTGTGGTAACAAGCAAACCAATTCTGACATATAGTGAATCAGTTTTCCTTTTATATATTTTTGTCGTTGCTTGTAAAGTAGTATTTGATAAATTGAAACCTACGGAAAAGTTTTAGCGCACGGACATCCACCCAAATAAGAAGGTAACATTTTGTACCCACTCGAACCTGGTCAATTTAATTATTTTTGAATGAAGTGTAATACTAGTGGACGAAAATTCAGAAAATAAAGAATGTGTAAATTAAACTTAATTAGCAAAGAACCATTTTATAGTTTCTAGCTGGGTCATTGGGGGGTTACGTTCATTGAACGCCGCCTTTTCCTGTTAGATTGTTTATTATTTCTGTATAGTAGTAGTCCGCTCCCTACGACTGCTGCGGTATGTGGAAAAGCATCTAATCAAATCACTTCATTGTTCTTTTTTATCTTAAAAAAACGACAGTTTATCTGGTTATTAATTTTAAATTTTTTGTGTTTGTAAGAATTATAAAGCGGGTTTTAGCGATATTTTAGCTTTTAAATAATTTTAATTATTTTAATAATAGTTTGCTAGTAAAATTGCTTTTTGACACCGAACTTTGTTCCCATTTTTCATTTTAAATGATAACATTTTAGCTATTGATCAGTAATGTAAAGTAAATATAATCAAATTTTTATAATTAACGAGTACATTTCACCGTATATTGTGAGACGAACCTCTAAATGACGTCTATATGGGCGCCCCCATTTTGAAATGGACGTCACGTCAGGTTTACAACGTAAGTCAACGGGAAAAAATATAATTTTAAACATTTTGACCATATTACTGACTTTATGAAAAAAATGAAAAACACATGCCTAGAGATATTGACGTCAGGGTTAAGATGACATTAATTTAAATGATTTTACTATTATATTAAATAAAAAATGGAATGTTCAAATTTGATTGGAGCAGACTAAGTGTAATATCGTCTAGTGTTAATATCGTTTTTATTAAATGGCTTTATTACACTCCTGCGCCGCGGTTTATGTGATAATACGCCATTGTAACACCGTTGCTGTGATACAGACGCTGACGTTTGAACGCCGTTGTTATGATAATACATTAACGTAACGCCATTATTCCGACCAATACTACGCCATTATAACACAGTTGCTTTGATACAGACGCTGACGTTTGAACGCCGTTGTTATGATAATACATTAGCGTTACGACGTTATTCTCAATATTTCGCCACTGAAACGCCGCTGCTGTTATAGAGAATAATAGGTTGGTGCCGTGGATGGAGAAAGTTTATCTGGCGAGGCGGAGGAATTTATTGGGTGATAATTTATTTTTCGCTTGAAAAATTATAGAGTGAAATAAAATTAACAAACAAAGTTTTATCAACGTTTCCAAAATTCGTTTTTCTACACACAGAAGATTTAACGACAGTTTTTTTTTTCATACCACTGGAACGGCCTGTAAAGAACGTTTCTATTGGAAACTCTGAGGCGAAAACAATTTTAACCACCAAACATAAAGTCCAACATTATAATAATAATTATATTTTTTTCTTGAAAAATAGTCCGGCAAACCATGCATACCACGTGATCAAGTGCCGAAGATCAGTAAAAATATACGGCACCTTGTTATCGGGCCGAAATTGATACAAGTGACAGGATATATAGGATATTGAATGAGTGTAAGTTCAATACTGAATTTATTGCACGAGTTGAATAAAATTATATTATGCGAGCCTCTGGCGAGCATAATATTATTTTATTCAACGATATCTAAATAATTCAGTAATGAACTTAACACGAAATTAATATTCATTTATCCAACACATACCCAAAATAAAACCGTTTTAAGTAAATAATAAAGTCATTTCATGCGCGCCCATGTATAACGCTATCATTTAGCGCGTCTTACATATTTGTTACAGCCAATGACGTCCAGCGTCAAAAATATATGCACGAAACGTACAAACCATATTTACGGAGTCGCAAAATCGCACGGGTGTGTGATAAAAATACATATTCTTGGCATTTTGACATCGTTGATGTGAGTGATACATGGGATGACGTTTAAAGCCTTTGCTCTGATGCATACGCTGATAAGTACGGCATTGCTCAATTTCTTATGTTGACGTTTGACCCAGATGTTTCGAAACCTTTGATGGTGTTTTAAGACATGCCTTCGCTTTTATACTTTTGACGCCGTTACTTTTACTTACACGCTGACATTTAAACCATGATGCTTAGAAACGACGAGAAATTTAAGACCTTGATCTGATTTATATGCGATGTCATTTCAACGTCGTCTCTCTGATGCATTCGCATATATAACGCAGTTTCTAAGGTAGATTAACGTTTAACGCCGATGTTGTGGTACATAAGATGACGTTTTAACGCTGTAGATCTGACATATCCACTGACGTTTTTACGTCGTTGCTCAGATACTTACGTTGCAGTGCTGTCACGCTGAAACATACTTTGACGTTTTTTTTTGTCATTTAAATACATAGCTTGACGTCTTAAGTACGTCGTTGCTCAGATACGTACACTAACCTTTTGACACCGCTCTCATATTCATACGCCAATGCTAAGATATGCTCGCTTCGATACATTAAGCGACATTCAAACCCTTCGTCTGATATATACTGAAAAAATATCCGGACATTTTAAAATACAGATGTAGTTGAATTTCACCTTTGCATTTAAATATTAAACGCAAAAGACGATTTTTTAAACTTTTTTGTTGCTGTAATTTTAGTACATTTCTATTAAAGTCAATAGTTGCGTTTTCTCTTATAAATTTCTGGCATTTTATTGTTATTCTGAGATAAAATTTAAACACTTTTGCTTTTAAAACAACAATTACGTTTTCACATTAACATTCTGATACGCAAATTGCATTTTAATGGCTTTCGTTTGTGTCAATAATGATGGTTTAACGAGATTAAATTTTAACCGATATTGTGCTCAGCATGTGCAAATGTGGCTATTGTTAAAACAAAATTTAGTTTTTCTGCTTTTGAAGAATGAATAAAATGTAAATAATATTCCCTTGAATTGATAATCAGTGGGAGGGGTGTAATTTTGCACGGGATAGTTTTACGTTTTCACGGGTATTAATAAAATAATTTAATCCAAAGTCCAAATATAATGTTCTTTTTATCATATATACAAAATAGAACTGTTTACTGTAAAAAAAAAAAAAACCCACACTGTTGCAGTGTACGTCGCGCTTATAGTTTACTGTAACGCTTACAGTTTGCGCGTATGTACAGTAGTACAGTGTAGAGCAAATGACGTTAGTCGTAAAAGTGGACGGTTAAATGTGATAATAAGTTATCGCATTTTAAAGGGTAATACGCTTTTTCACCTTTATATCCTGCAGTTATCTATGAAATAGTAATATATTTTTCTTCTTATCCAGACATTAAAAGTAAAAAAAAAAATATGAACTACATTTAAAGGCAACTCCAAACGTTAACGTAAGAAGTCAATATACTCAAATAAGAGAAATGCAATCATTAACAAAATCCGGGCATTACGTGTGATACCCTGTAATGATATGTAATCATACTTATAGAATGCGTGTTATCACTGATATCATTGTTTATTAACTTTAGAAAGAAAAGTGCCATATCGAAATATAAAAGTTTAAGGTTAATATTCGTACATATTTTGCGATGCCAGGTGGACGTACGTTAACGGAACCTCAAAAAGCAGGTAGATCAACTAAACTTTTTTTTTTAACAGATTTATATAAGAAATTCATTTCTATTGTTAACGACAGTCCTTTTTGTTTAAATTTGTTGTTGTTTGTACTGCTTTGTGGTTAAATATCAGCTTGTGTTGGGATAACTCAGCTAAAGGTGTAACTCAGGGATTAGAGGGATAACTCAGTTATCCCACCCCTTCTAAGTACATGTATATCTTCTGTTAGCTAGCACATGGAAAAATTCATACACCATGCACGGGATTCGAGTACACATCGGATAATTCGAGTAATTTAAGATAATTAATCTTTATTATTATCAACCGACATTAATAGTTAAAACACAATGAACAAACCTATTATATCACAGAGTTTATATTTCAGCTCTCAAAGATGCTTTCGAAGACATTGATATCACGAATTCGGGTATGATAAATAAATCCGAGCTAAGAGCAGCGTTACAGTTGACTGGCCAGAACCCAACCATGGAGGAAATGATCACATACACAGAACGCTTGGGTAACATTCTCTAAACTATTTTTTTCCAATGAGATATTTAAATATATCAATAAGATATAAAACATATCACACTGTTTTAAACTCAATGAAATATAAAACTTTAGTTTACAACGGTAGCATATTACGTCATCGCGCCCATGCAAAATGCTCCCAATCGGACTGCTATCCTGTCTACTCGAAGTAACGATATCAAAACACATATGTAGCGCACCAAAGATATAACTGTAAAAACGTTTAAAGTATTACTGCCTGGTTTAAGCCTGAAAACGGAATAAATTTAGTTTGGGAGTCCGAGTGGGAGCTTTTAGGAAAAAAAACACAACAACACATCGTTATCGAATGATCGTGACTTTGGTAGGTATAGGTGGTAGTTGAATATTCGAATAACCAACTTCGTTGTAGTTGGTAATTGGAAATTCCCAAAATAATATTAAACATCTGGTACTTGAATCCAGGTAGTTGGTAATTCGAACTTAACATGTTTATATGACAGGAGATATTTGTACAAAATAGGAAAAAGTTCGAATACCCACTATATAGTGCGCGTATCACAGGGTCCCCTCCTATTGTGTATGATAGAACTTACTCTTGGTAGTAATTGTTTTAGTAGTGCTTGGAGTCCATGTACGCTCTGTTAAGGCAATTTCCTGTTTAGTAGTGCTCTGTGTCACGTAAGGTTCGAGTTGTGGTGTCCCAGTGCCTATATGTCAAGTGGTTGAGTCAGTGTCTTGTGTCATCTTGAGTAGTAACTGTTCCTGTGTGTCCTGTTAAAAGTTAGTGACTGTTGACATGTCGTGTCAGTGTTTGAACAGTGTCAGTGATTGTGAAGAACCCTGTGTTTAAGTAGTATCCTACCTGTGTGTCAGCGTTTGTGTAGTTCACTGTGTGACAGTGTTTTTGTATTGTCCTGTTTGTCAGTATGCTGTGTGTCAGTGTCTGAGTATATTCATGTGTGTCAGTGTCAGTGTTTGAGTAGTGTCCTGTGTGTCAGTGTCCTGTGTGTCAGTGTTTGAGTACTGTCCTATGTGTCAGTGTTTGAGTACTGTCCTACTGTCAGGTCCTATGTGGTCAGTGTCCTTAGTGTGTCAGTGTTTACAACACAGGAATCAAATAAATAGTCCCAGTCTACCTCACCCCCCCACCCCCCCCACCCCCCCCCACCCCTCCCCCCCCCCCCCGCCCCACCCCCCCCCCCCACCCCCTCCCCCCCCCCCCCCCCACCCCCCCCCCCCACCCTCCCGCCCCCCCCTCCCCCCCACCACCCCCCCCCTCCCCCCACCCCACACCCCCCCCCCCCCCCCCCCCCCCCCCCCCCACCACCCCCCCCCAATCACAGACCCAAACATCCAGAACATTAATCACCACCCCCCCAACCCAAGCAACACCCCACCAACACGCAAACAAATCCACACTAGCTATAAACACAACACCCCACCCCCCACGCCCCCACCAAATACAAAAAGTATGCACAAAAGAGCACCACTCCACCCCCGCCCACTCCTTCGCTACCACCCCCCCACACCCTCGCACCCTCTGGAACACCCACATTTCATTTTGGCCAACTTTTTTCGGTCACACGCCACATTTCCCGAGCGCGACTCAACGGTTCGTCACAGATGGCTTTATTGTATTCATCCAAATCCCTAGACGCTTTGCACACACCTTATGGCCAACAAAAAACTTCTAATTAACTCCACACTACCATACGTATAGTCCGACAGCTAACCCACAACGAAGATTGACTACTTGTTTCCCTAAACCTCACGTCAACCAAGTACGGCTTTATTACATACTAACAAGAACTGCACGATTAAGATACTTAGTCCATCCTATAAAACCCCTGGCGTACTATACAATTTAACTTGTTCGGCGTAAAGGAGTAAGACCATTGGTAATAGACTAATAAAGACTGTCAATGAAACAACAATAGTCAAGTATGGTCTTAAAAGTCAATATATGCAAATTAAATAAATATAAATAAAAGAACTATCACCTTACACTATAACAAATAGTTAATAGTAGACAGAAATACTATCAAAAATGAATCATTAAACTTATGAGAAATAATCACCTAACAGAAGAATAATTTTGGAATTAGGTATGGCTGAAAGAGACACATCATATTGGAGAAAGCCCACTAAGACATCCTTGTGCTGTAATTTATCATATCAACTTACGAGGTGAACCACACGACACAATAGCTACAAAAAAACAACTAATTTCACATAAACACACGAACACCGCGGATTATATATTCGGAAACTACATAGACAGTTATCTTAATTTAAGCAATACCTAGAATAGGATCATTGGTACGTCACAGTAATACACAAGACGATTAATAACATACATAGTACGACTGCCAAAGAAAATACACAAGGTTGTTACAAATTCCATACACAGACTATCATTGCAAAAACATATATACAGGCAGAGATTGCCGACACCATTAAAATTTAAAATAACTAAGCCGACTACCCCGACTATCAGCATAACCAGACAGTGACAATAAACTAGAGAATACAGAATCACTGAACACTGCATGAACAAGTACAACGAACATACACAAACGCGCTACAACTAGTTAGTCACTATACTAACACAGGTGTCATCTCCAACTGGACACGTTACACGACACTATAGGATCATTTCACAGCACCAAGATAGCTTAAACACGGACAACAGGATTGTAAATCAAATGACACAACACAGAACACTACTCAACCACATGACATATACGAGCACAGGACACCAACTCGATACAGCGGTACATACAAAAATGAGCCTACTAGACACATGGAAACATTGACGTAACACAGAGCGTACTATGACTTTCTACGTATATTGTGGCGTATCTCAGCGTAGTAGTGTAATACTATCGATGTCAGTGTCATGTGTCCCAGTGTGAGATAGTGTTCTTGTCGAGTGTTTGAGTTAGTGAGTCATGTGTGCCAGAAGTCTCACAGCTAGTGACATAGGTAGTGGAGGATGATTGACTAGGTGTCCCTGTAATAGCTAAGTGCTATGACCAGTATTTGTCCTGTGTGCATGTTGAGTATGTTATGTCAGTTGTAGTAGTCTCGTATCTTATGCAAGTAGGTCAGTAGATTCCTCAGGTATATGCATTGTAGAATAGTGACGTTATGTGTCATGGTTGTAGTGTTCCGTGCCAAGTGTATTTAAGTCTAGTGTTCTGTGTACCAGTGTTTGTTAGTACTTTCTTATGTGTTCGGGTTGTGAATGTAGTAGGGTGCTCTAGCTGTATCAGTGTTCATCATATTATTTGCTCCCTATAAGCTGTGTGTCAGTAGTGAGTAGTGTCCTATGTGTTCGGGATTTTGAGTAGTTGTCCCTGTTGTTCAGTGTTTGAGTAGGTGTTTTCTGTGTGTCAGTGATTTGATTAGTGTCCTGTTATGTTAGTGATGAGTTGAAGTTTCTCCTATTATTAATTTTAATTATCTATTATTACTATCAATAACGAAAGGATGTTATTTTTGTTGAGATTAGAGTTAGCGGGATCGAACTCGCGAATTCCTCCTGTTGTGATTCAGTGAGTCAAGATCGTTGTAAACCACTGACGCACAGATATTCCCGAGTAGCAATGATTTATACTATCATTCGAAGTCCTTGAGGAGGAGCAGGTATTTGCAATTGAGAGAGACAGCGCCTGAAAGGAGTTATGAAAGTAACACAATTGCACATATATAGGAGTTGGTTTCAAACTAACTTTTATATTATGTTATAATATGAGCTGTTTTAACGATTGACTAATGTAAATTGTTTTAATTAATTCAGGTAATTGCTGAGCAATATTACGCCCTGGTTGCGTGAATACGAGTGAGTGTGTAGAAGAATACAGTAACAGCATAACTAGAATTGTTTATCAAGACCTTCCTGTACATGTACACGACTTGTTATTCTTAATCACATTACACACTTTAAATTATAGCTAACATTCAGTCACGAGTGACATTTAATGGTACATAAATTATAGCTTATAGACTGCTTACATACACCTACGTTTACATCTGAACATATGACTAGTAAGCAATAGCGACATGACCAATATTCTATTTACGTCCTAAATAGAGTATACCATTCATTATACATACTAATATAGACGATTGATATATCTATTAGCCAGAGGAGTCTCGATATATAAGCCAAAGTACGCAAATATTTCTTATAAATAACAATTTTAATCATTCAATAAAGTTTTGAAGCATACTTGTCTAACACAGTAGTCATTATTATAAACTTGTACGAATTTCAAGAATATACAGAGTACAGTACAATGATATAATGTATTACATCTGCATACGACGAAGCATTACGAATATATACAATGATTCGTTATTTCTAGAATCTGTTTTAAATCCATAACGTACCGGTTGGTATGCTGAATCTAATGTAGAATGACAGATACGTATTCTACTATTAAGAGGATGTTCTAAGATTCCTTCTTTGTGATGGATGCATTATCTAGATTAATGTCTCATATAACCAAACCCACTCTTCAAATTAATTAATTATACAAATTCAAAACTGGGCTACGCATTATGTCAGAAATGCCAGTTTTGTAAAAAGTTATCTATTACACCGTTGCTTAAAATTCGCAGATAAAAAGATTTATGACAAACACAACCTTGATTCTCCCATAACATCCATAAAACCATAAGTGTACAACATATCTTTGACATTGCAGATAACCAGTTACGTTTACCACTTGTACAATCATTAATAAGACATGTGATATATTTCTTTCAAAATAATATTATCAGTTTGTAGTAGCTTTAACCAATATTTTACAATTTTTACATATCTTGTTTACAAATAATGGATAACGTCCTAGTTCTCCATAAACAGCTGCATTACATGTATTTAACCTAACATTTAATATCCTTTTACAAAAAAATCTGAGATGTACTCTTTCTAATTACCTTTGACTTACTGTGTACCCCATATTTCAAGATGCATAACAAAGAATTGAACCTACAAAAGAATCAAATATACTGGGCATAAAGATTTTAGGTTTTAAAAATTGTTATTTCTTACAATTAATAAGTTAAAATATTCAATGGCCTTCATCAGCTTTTCAAACTAACCTGCTCTGATTTAAAATAAATGTGCCCAGTATAGTTAAAAAAAATAACACCGAGGTAATTAAAAATCATTAACAACATCTAGCTTTATGTCATTATACAAAAATTCTTCTTGCCTGTAATAACCCACCACGTTTCCTAAAAACAACCACTTTAGTCTTTTTCTACATTAACTCTAACTCCACTTTTTACAATAAGTATATAAAAAGACTTTAAAACTTGTATTTAATAACTCTGAAAACTGAATTACCTAGTATAACCATGTCATCAGCAAAAAGTAATAGCATAAGTATAATGTCATTAATTTGAAGGCCACTACTAATTATCTTGTTCTAAGAATAATTTCTACATCATCAATAAACAACGAAAATAAAATTGGCGAAATTACCTCCCCTTGACATAGTCCTATAGCATATTTCGAAAAATTCAGAAAAGGTATTTTCAATGTTTTACACATAGATTGTACCTCATTATACATATCTTTTTACTATACGCAGAAGTTTACCTCTTATACCAAACTTATATAATTTTCAACCATAAGGCATTTCTATAAACACAAATCAAAAGCCTTTCGGAAATCAACAAATACACAATATAAACGTTTATTTTCATTTAAATATTTTTGTACTACAGACAACAATATATATATAAGCATCAACAGTAAGATTTTCCCTTCACGGAATCCAAATTGAGCATCAGATAATACATTGATTTTGTTCACAATAATTTATTATCCTCTTTATTGATAACTGATGTAAACAACTTTGACATACAACTAACAAGTGTTATGCCTCTATAATTGTTAGCGTTATCAGTGTCCCCCTTTTTATGTAACGGTATAATTATACCTCCGTCCATGAATCCGGGAAAAAACCGGTATCAAGTATACAATTAAAAATATCACAAATATGGGACGCTAATATGTCGATTGATTCAATAAAATACTCGTTTAACAAAAAATCCTTTCCGGGAGACTTTCCCCTTTTTAATGATTTAACAGCACCGATAATTTCATCTACAGTAAAAGGTTTATCCAAAACACAAAGCTTTCAGACTAAACACAAGGAAAATAAGTAAGACTGTTGACAGGCATTGGCAATAAAAAAACCATACCAGAAAAGCCATGATTCGTGAAATAGAATCGCAGTTCTTACAATGACAATAAGTAAACTGAAATGAATATTTGTAGTTAAGGTGATTCTGCTTTGTCAGCCATGTTTGTTTTCACTATGTGGGTCTAAAGTGAAAGTAGGCCAAAATTCATATAACAACAAAAGCTTTACATTGTTTATATGATGAGCCATTTGCCAAGTACAGCTTCCAGTTCTATGTTTTAAAGACTATTTTAAAACAAAATAATAAAATGATAACATAATAGAAAATTACCTTGAATGTGCTACATTTCTGAAGACCAAAAAACATTCTGTTGCAAAGTTTTTTATGCACATTTCATGAATGGCAAAAAATCCTTTTTAAAGTCTGTTTTAATGCCTACAAAAGCTATTTTTTTTGCAGAAAATACAAAAAACTTTAAAAAATATAAACCTTAGGAAGTGTAGTTTATCTGACCTTTGAAAAAAAACATGGCCTACAATGACATGTGTAAAAAAGTAGTACCATGAAAATAAACATCATTACCTATCTACTTGTGTACATGACAAACAGACACAATTCACTGTTACACATAAAAAGGTTAGATTTTAAAGTTTGATAGGTGTTTTATTTTTAATAGTAGTTCATAAGGCTATAAAATGATGATTGTTTTCTTGCACTACTTTTTTACCAAAAAATAATGGAGGCCATGTGCTTAGAAGGACATAGATATGGATTTATTTGGGAGTTAAGTTTTTGAAAGATTTTTGTATTTGCTGCAAAAAAATAGCTTTTTGTAGGCAACTAAAACAGACTTAAAAAAAAAGGATTTTGCCATTCATGAAATGTGTATAAAACTTTGCAACAGAATGTTTTTGGTTCTTCAGAAATGTAGCACTTTCAAGGTAAATATTCTTATTGTTATCATTTTTATTTTGTTTTATAATTCGTCCTTAAAAATATAAACCTGGAAGTGTACTTTCAAATGGTTCATGCATTTTACAATAAGAGCTTTGTTGTTATAGTGAATTTTGCCTACTTTCCACTTTGGACAGAGGTTTGTGAAAACAAAACATGGTCTGACAAAAGCGGAATCACCTTAATGATAAATGACGGGTTGAGACAAGTCTATTTAATCTAATTTTCACATGTTAAAATATTACCGTTGGCGGAAATTAGGTGAGAATAGTCTGTTAAAGCAGCAAAGCCCCAGACTCATGCTTATTTTCATGAAAATTTTAAAAATTTAATCTAAATTAAAGGTAAACTATTTTCGAGTGAACTAAGACAGTAATTTACATATTGCAAACAACACTTCGCATACTAGTATTGAATGCATGTTAATGGTTAACAAATGTTACGGTTATATAACAATATATGTGTTTTCTATAATATGGTAACACCCCTTCACTATAAATCGACTAAGGGACACAGTTGGTTATTCGCGCGAATCCACAACTACCTACCAGAAGGCAGTTGGTAATTCGAAAAAAACATTGCATGCTTACCCATAAAAACAACAGTAAAATGACGGATATATAGTAAGATAGCTGTATTCTTCAACATTGAAACACCCTGTCTCCCTATGTCCTCCATGAGACTTTTGTTTGTTGTTTTTTTTTGCCTGAATACAAAACTACATACTGCCATGGAAGGTAGTTGGTAATTCGGATTGTACATATATTTCTCTGGAAAACAAAGCTTTGTTTTCTGAACAAATGTTACGGTCATATAACTAAATATGTGTTTTCTATAATATGGTGACACCTCTTCACCGTAAATCGACCAGGGGACTCAGTTGGTTATTAATTAGCTTTAATCCCAAACTACCAACCAGAAGATAGTTGGTTATTCGAACTTCTTGTACGTAGTCTCTAAGATATAATAGTCCCTAGAAAAAAACTTTTCACAATAAAGTAACAGATATATGACAAGATAGATTAATTCTAGCAAATGGTATCACCACGTCTCCCTACATCGAGCAGGGGACACAGTTGGTTATTTATGTGAATCTCCAACTACCTACCAGAAGGTAGTTAGTAATTCGAACTTTGGTAGGTAGTTTTGGGATTTGCGAGATAAACATCTAGGTCCCCTCTTTTATTCTGTGTTTATAATGTACGAAGCGTTCTTACATTTCATGCTGGTGATAGTGGATTGATTTACCAACTACCATGCACCTCTAAAATAGTTGGTAACTACGAATAACCAACTATCAGCTAGTATAGGTAGTTGGTTATTCGAATATCCAACTACCAACTACCTACCAAATTGACGCTCATCTTTATCGAAAGGATATTTACACAAAAATGTCCGATTGGTAGCATTTTGCAAGTACGCGATGATGTAGTATCCAACCATTGGTTTACATAGAATCTATTTTAGTTATATTTTAAAGGAAGCTATGAGCTTGTAGACACACTCTCAAATCCCTGTATAAACAGGTTGGTCGGTTAAGTTTCGATAATTCAAGGAAATTCAACCGCAAAATAATGGCACTGAGTATTAAACAGTGATGTGTCTGCTAAACCTTAGTGAAATGCAATCGTGCCTGGCTTTAATACCAAGCATTTTGTGTTAAAATACTGTCAATTCACCTAATTTTGTAGGCATACAATTTCGTGGTCCTATCAAAAAAGGACATTTTGGCTCTTAAATTCGCGGTTTGTCTTTTTTTCCAATAAATATAATACAAATACTTTAGATATGTAACAATAATTGTACGACAGGCGCGAAAAAAATCGTTGAATATCAAAATTCGTTGATTTACCAACCCACAAGACTACGAAAAATAGTAATCCTCGAATAATAATGCTTTTGCAGGAGTTAGATATGAAATACTATACCAAGATAATGACTTTTTTATTTTTTTCCATAAAGGTAATGGCACTTTTACGTTAGCCGAATTTATTGAATTTGTTGAACAACATATACCTTTCAAAACAAAGGAAGAGATCGACAAAGAGCTTACGGAGGCGTTTGAAAAATTCCGTGATGACCGCGATCTTTCTATAAGTAAAGAAGAATTTCAAAAAGTGATGACCAAACTTGGTGATGAACCTTTAACTGATGGCGATGCAGAGACCTTGATAGAAAGTTTGAAAAATATAGAGAACAGCGGGAAGTATAATGTTACAGGTATATAAGCATGATGTTTGGGTGTTTTCTTATGTCAATTTCTTTTATTTTTTGGCAAACTAATTTCAACTGATTCGAAAACAGTTTCCAATACAGACTTAAAAGGATGGGTTTTAAGATTCACGAGCTTCTAAAAACTAAAACATTACACTAACTTCAAAGCAATGTCTTTGAATTTTCCTAGGGTATGTGAGGAAGTTATCCACTGTTATAATAATTATTGAAAGTGAATAGTTTATCTCAGGTGTGGACTTTTCGAAAGGTCTACAATAATGCACGGAGCAACATCTAGTGTCACTTTAAGGTCTTAGAACTGGTTTTTATTTTGTTCGGGTTTCAGTCACAACGACCCTGTAACGCGGCTTTACAAATTTAGTGGTAGCCGTTCGTACATTAATTCGATCACAAGGGATCGAAGTTCTGAGAAAAACCACCGACTATCCGAAATCTAGCCGGAACGTTTATAAGTCACCATATGTTAATAGTGCACGTGAATAAAATCATTACAATATGGACTTTATATTCTTATTTCATTTCTTTCAATGCAAGAATTATAATGAAAGTCCAAAGAGTTTTGACATTTGTACTGTTGTTGTTGTTTTTGTTGGTTCAAAATGATATCGTTTTCATCTATTTCAGAGTTATCTCGGTTGTTCATGGGGTGAAAAACAACAAAAGAACAGTGTCAAGACGTTTTTGAAATTATTTCAACATGCTGACGCACATAAACATTGGCACCTTGTATTTTAAATTTCGCAAACAGTTTGAATATATTATTGTTAACACATTGATTTTATTTTACTTTTTCTTAAGCACACTTCGTGGGATTGTTCTTTTGTTTTATCAATACACTTTTGCGTATGTTATATTTTTAGCGGTCTTTGTTTTAAGTATGTATACAATTTGTATATCAAAACGAAATGGAAGAATGATTGCACACTATCGTTTTACATTTGTTCTTATGTCTACCCCTAGAATGAATATATCTGTAAGTTTTCGGTGGGACAGAAAACAATTTGAATAATATAATAAACATGACACAGGTATGGAAAATTCATATTTTTTATATTTTGTATTTTAATTGTATAATTTTTCATTTCATAATGTTATTATTCCTTATGTAAAAAGATTTCAACTTCATCCTGCTTTATATTAAATATAATGTAGAAAAGTTATAAACAAATGCTGAACCTTTCACCACATTTTGAATACCATTTTACATTTAAATTATCAATTCCTCAAGCTCATTAGATCACCGAACATTATCGCGTGATCATCCGCTTGATTTAATGCGTCTGTGTTTTATGTCGCACAAACACGTTTTAAGATATTAGTTGCGACTTTCCAGCTTTATTCGCGAAGAAGAGTGGGCATCTGAGTAGAACCACCGATCTTCTATAAGCTAGCCAAAGAAATTCCTCACATTAAAGAATTCAAAAACAATAGAGAGATTCTAACCAACAGCCAAGATTTATTAATGCGTTATATCCAATGCCGTTATCTATTTAAAAAAAAAACAACTGAAAAGTATTATTTAAAGTTCATACCACTTTCTTTTTGTTTCAGAAATTATCAAAAGCATTGAAGGAAGGTCGGTATTTTTCGAAACATTATAAACTTAGTGTTAATATCAAACCAACTTTTATCGTTTATCTTATGTTATACACATGTAAACATTGCTTTACAATCATTTTTCTTAGTTAAATTTCTATTCCAACTTATTGTTATAATTAACATAGTATGAGTATAACAAAGCAATTTTACCCCATTAATAATACTCATCGAAAGTATATAAATTTCCTTTAGGTCATTTTCACAAAGTTTGATTTCGCTTATTCAGCTATCAAAGAAGCATTTGACCAGATAGATAAAGAAAAAGTTGGTAAAATGGACAAGCATGGTGTTCGTGAAGTGTTACAATTGATTGGTCAGAACCCTACTAAGAAAGAGATGACAATACTTTTAAAGGAATAGGGGGGGGGGGGGGGGGGGGGGGGGGGGGGGGGGGGGGGGGGGGGGGGGGGGGGGGGGGGGGGGGGGGGGGGGGGGGGGGGGGGGGGGGGGGGGGGGGGGGGGGGGGGGGGGGGGGGGGGGGGTGAGGGGGGGGGGGGGGGGTGGGGGGGGGGGGGGGGGGGGGGGGGGGGGGGGGGGGGGGGGGGGGGGGGGGGGGGGGGGGGGGGGGGGGGGGGGGGGGGGGGGGGGGGGGGGGGGGGGGGGGGGGGGGGGGGGGGGGGGGGGGGGGGGGGGGGGGGGGGGGGGGGGGGGGGGGGGGGGGGGGGGGGGGGGGGGGGGGTGGGTATGAATAGAAAAAGTCCATGTGGTTTTATCGTAAGAATTCATTTCGCATTCAATGGCAGTTCAAATCCCCATCTAGTAAAAACTTATATTACTGACAGTCTTTGAGATGATACCTTTTAATCAATAAGTTTGTAAAAAAAATGTAAATGTTAAACCGATTTATACACTTTATAAACAGGGTTTCGCCCAATTTCCTCCAAAATTATTAAAGTAGATATAGTCTTAGGATGTTTACTTTTACAATTTCTTAGATATTGATTTTGCGCTATAAATCGTTTTTGGCAACATTTTTTAATGTTTTCGTAACGGGGAGAACATATTTCATATGTAGCCGTGTTAGATATGCTAATTTGTTTGCATGTTAACAGCACGTTGTCAGACAAACTGACATTTTAATGGACTCCAAACCATCAATTATTACAAGAAAATTGCAACGTTTATGTCTTGTTATTTAACAACTGACTTGGCATCAATCATCATCAACCAATTTTTAAAATACGACGTGATCAATACACTCGCAGGCGGAGAAGAAATTTAATTTCGTATTTTAAAGTTTATTGCTTGTTAATGGTCAATATCTTCTGAGCAGTTGTTTTCTGTTGATATAATTATCATCAATATAATATTAAGCTACCATTCACACGCAAATACAGGAAGGCGGTCATAGAGGTACTGCTTTTCAAGTAGAATAAGAAAATTCCTTTCCAAATATGTATTTTTCGAAGTATTATGAAACCATGAAAGGAATGCCGGCCGCAGATTAAGTAATAGCTGTTTAAACCGTTTAACTTTTTTTATTAACGTTTAATTATAACAATTGAGAATTGTACATAGATTTGACATGTCCTTATAGAGTAAAGCTGTCGATGTTATAGTGCATGTTCTGCTCAGACAATCCAGCTCAATATATGTACAGTATTTTGCCGACCTTATTTCAGGATTTTTAGTTATAGAAACTGGGATTTACAGAGCACGAAATAATAACATTTTTTCCTGAAAAGGTCGTTTTGTAGTTTAGTAAAAAGAAAGACTTTAATATAAGGGAACAGAAAGGTTTTACTTATCTTTTTAAATTTTATTTCACTAATCAACACGCTGTTGCTATAAAAATTGTGTTTTCACATGATTTCTTTTCCAGAAGGTGACAAGATAGAACGAGACGAAATTGGAGATTTTGTTGAACAATTTGTCCACCTTAAATCACAGGAATCTATTAACGAAGAAATTGCTGAAGCTTTTGCCAAGTTTGATACAAATGACGGCTTTGTCATCACTAAAGCAGATTTTAGGGAGATTCTCACGAAACTTGGCGATGAACCATTATCTAATGCACAGGCTGATAAGATTATTGAAAGTTTAGAGACAGATTCTGAAAATGTGAATGTCCCAGGTAAGAACTTATTTCGTCATTTTTTGTTATTTTTTACACAAATCATTATATTAACTTATATTTTTCACCAGCATTGGTGTCACATGCCGTGACCCGACTGGAGTTCGAACCTGTGACTCCTTTATTGAAAGGCATACAAAGTAACAATTTTGTCATCATTTTTCCTAGATGTTTAAAACAGTTATTGAGAAATATTCTTATGTTTAATTATGTAATCTTAAGGATTTCACTTCTCATTAAAAGTCTTTATCTCACTTACTTTTCTTCACTTTTGCAAAAGAATTTTTATTTGTTTCAACAAGTAGCATAAAACTTTTTTTTTGTAACATGAGTGATGTCATTCGTTGAACTATAAAAGGAAGCATATCCTTAATAAATTATAATAATTGGTTTTAAAAAAAAATAATTGTTTGGTAATAAATGTCTCAATCTGAAAATGCTCGTCTTATTATTATTATGATTTCTATTTTTAACTTTCTTTAAGTTATTATTGCAAAGAATAGAACAGTATTTATTGAAGATCAAAAATATCCCAACATTTACATTTTTTGTGTTTCTTTTAAAGAGGATATGCATGTGCTTTTTCATTATTTAAAAATGAAACGTGATATTCTTAAGTTTCAGAATGTTCGCCATTTCATTTCAGATCTATCAAAGTTGTTGAGTGGTTGAAATACATCGAATTCATGAAAACGACAAAAAAAGGAAAACACAAAACAACAAATAGCTTTTAGATATATTTAAACAATATACATAAAAAACAATTAATAAAGATATATTTGACACCAACATAGAGAGGGCAACAACTACCGATAAAGAAATAGTTATAAATAATAAAAGTCATTATTCCAGACACATTTATTTGCGAAGGCAATTTTGGTCAAGTCGGTGCTATAGCTAAAAGCTTTTCGATCATTTCTGAAAAAAAGAAGAAAATATTGAGTGGGTAGCAAATCATTTAGCATAAATATACTAATATAATAAATATCTGAAAGCTTTGCAACTTTAATAGATAAGAATAGACTTTGTATATTCATGAGTACTAGTGAAGAGCAAAACGCTGGTTTTGCAGGAATTTGTATCTTATTTTCTTATTAAGTGTGTGTTAACTTTGTTTTTATAATTTTCCATAATTTGAATTATGGAATTAAAGATAATGGCAAAAAGATCTGAATAAAAATAAATTTATTTAGATGCTTAGTGCATTAATAATTTTTGTTAGTTCGCATTAGCCTTAATTGCTTGCCAAGTATTGTCAATAAATAGTTTGTAGAAGGGACTCTGAGTTTTCTTTCAATAATAAACGACATTGTACCACTTCGCTATACTCTGTACCATTCAGCATTGTGACTTTGTATGTGATATTTTTATTGTTTTTGCTTTGCAATTGATATATACAGAACTGAGGCTTGTTATCATAAGATAGAAACGAAAGCGAAATTTGAACGTTCTTATAATATAGCTAATTCAAATAGCAAACTCTCGCAATGAATGTCATTTGAATACATGGAGTCCAATATCTCTAGGTCAATTTTTATTTTTGTTATGTGAGGACATCTTTGGATAAGTACGCAGTTGTTCTTATATTTATTAACAAGACCACTGAATAAGTCTGATAAGGGATCTTTATTGGTGGTATTGTTATGTAAGAACCTCGGTAGCTTTGTAATTTCAACAGCTTCAAGGTGTGAAACAAATGGTACTGTACCTTCTATTTGGATATTCCCATCTCGATCTTTATCAAATTTAGCCACAACTTGTTGAGCTTCGTCCAGGGTAATTTTCTCTCTTCCTTCTCGTGTAAGAATATAGATAAATTCGTCTTCCGTAATTACAGGCCGGTTTTCAACGAAAAGGCGGAAGTCATCCTGAAATATGGTTAAGAGTATGTTGAAAACCATACTTGCATATCAATCACGGGTGTTCCTCTTGGTGTGCGCTCATGTGTAAGGACAATTTCTAATGTATATGATATTCAAGATGTTAAAGAATTCGTGTACTTGCTACATATAGTATTTAACCTGTAAAATAATACTTGTACAACTGACTAGCATGTTCCAAATGTATATCTTAGATGACAGTTGTGTACACTGGTCACACTCGTGCCTTACAGAACAGTGCACGTATACTCGTGCGTGCCTTATAAACGTATTATAACGTTTGACATACCTTTAATATTTCTTTTACTTCCTCTGGTGACCTCCAATCGACTTTCGTCATTATCGAAAGGAAGTCATCCTTTTTCAGTCTGTCACCATAATCTGTAAAATAAATCAAAATTATTTATGTCTGTACCTTGGTAATCTGTAAGTGCACTCAGCCTCTGCTAGCCAATCTTTATCCATTGTTCCGTTCTAGACTATAACGGTCTTTCAGCTGTGATAGCAAAGTAATACTAGTATATGAATCGCTTATTAACATCATGCAAGCGGATCAAGAATGGCTTATACCCGTCTTCCAGATTTGTGTACAACACAACAGCAGGTGTCATGTGCCGTGTTACAGCTGTAAAAAGTTGCCCCGTACTTCACGTCAGTGTTGTTTTATTTTTTATGGTCCTTCAGAATCATTGATTCAAGCACTTATAAGCGATGGAAATTGAGTACTGCTAAAACCGGGGATTGGCATGTTGCACTATCAATCCGAGTCTGTGATTTTCATAAAATTTTGTTGTGATTAATGCTTCCGAGGGATCACCCTTCTTCCTGACTTTTACAGTAATTATGATTTTGGTATTAACTACTTAACGAAGTTTTAAAATGTACAACAGTATCGAAATATTCGAAATATTGTCATATAAGAATACTGGAGAATCATTTTAAAAGTTGAAAGTAGATTACTTCGATATTTTTTTTTTCAAAACGTTTTTAAGGGCTGTTATATTTTTCTGGTCCTGCAGGATCATTAATTGCAGCAAATTTACAGTATTTAACCTGAAATGTACACAACAATACCTGTTCCAACTTGTTTGAGGAGCTGGTCAATCTCAACCTCTGTTGGGTTTAGCCCGGACAGTCGTACAGCATCTATCACAGTATCTTTTGTGTAGGGGACACACTCTGTTTTACGATCAGCAAGCGACATAAACGCCTGTGTAGCATCTGCAAATGATAAGAAGATAAATTAACTGAAACAGATTCCTTCATTTTTAAGGCTTAAGCTTGTCATTGAGCGTCATTTATTCTATGAAGCACTTCAACGCTTTTATATACATAAAATGGCCTTACTGTGGGCTACAGTTTGCCATTGATCGCCAATTATTCGATCTGTTGCTATTGTTAATTAAAGGGCAATATCAAAAATATTACATTGAGAAAAAAGCAATGAAAAATCTCGTGTTTAGAATGATTGAATGTAAAGAATGGGCTAACTTTATATTACACTGGTTGCATACTATTAGGCAAGTCTTCATCGATACTTACATCCAAAGAGAATATAACATACATTTTAATATTCAAATTTCATCTTTGTCTAAGCTTGTAAATTTCTCAAAATGTTTGTGACACTAAATAAAGAGCATTATTTTTTCCGGTTAATCTCTGTATTATGAAACCAAAACCATTTTTCTTAGAAGGTAACTTATGTAGAAATCGAATAACACACTGGCATAACTAAATGATTTTCGGTGAATGTTTTTAAAAACCCGCATATTTATATGAAATATACTTACATTTTTTCTGTTCATCCGTTAACTGAAATAAATAATGAAAATATTTAGCCACTGATACACCTAGGCATAATCATCAAAATACTGTCAAATAATTTTGAGCAAGTAATAAAAAAATAACTATCTCAGTTACCAGAAAAAAATATCTAAAAACTATTAAAGTTTTTTAAAGCTAGAATTATAAAATATTTTGTTAATGCTAAAATTCAAGTATGCGTTATATACAGAAAATGAAAAGGCACATTTTGTACCTGTTCATTTCAATAAAATCTAGTGGTAATTAAAAAGAAAATAAATAAGTCGAGAATAAACAAAAGTGAAAAGATTAATACCATAATTGAGTGTTATCATCCTATGTCAACTTGATAAAAATTTTAGTCGGGTTTTAAATTTTTTAAAATTTTTTGGGGGGGAAACTGATAAATTTTCATGGTCGGGAAAAATTAGAAAAAAAGAATTAACCATTAAAAAGTTCCTTTAGAATGGGGGTAAAAAAAAACAAAAAAAAATGCTTGAAATTTTAATTTTCTATTTAGCTCAACAAAAATAAAGGGACTTAACTAAATATTTCTTTGTGTGAAAAAGAAAAGGTTGTCTCCCTTTAAAAAAGATTTGAAGTAACAGACGAAAGGGTGTAAGATGAGTGTATACTTCGTCTTAATTTTCACTTTAACTGACCTGCTCTGAACAAAGAAGTATTAAATATGAAAAATATAGTTATGTCAATATTTTACTTTAACTTGAATCATTAGGTCATACTATTAAATGACGAGAAATCTACAAACATATCTTTAACCGACGGATCGGGGCGTCCGTGGCCGGGTGGTTAAGGTCGTTCACTTCGTAATCATTTGGGTCCCCTTACCCTGGGGGGTTCAAAACCCCCGAAAAAAAAAAAGGGGATTAGGTTTTTCTTTCATCTGAGGAATTTAAATACAGCTAGCTTACGGGGAACGTGGGGTGGTTAAAACTAAAGGTTTGCTGTTTCGTCCCTAAAAAAAAAGGGAAACGGAAATGCATTGAGATCTTCCTCCCAACTGTAAAGCGGGAAACCCGTCGCCTTTATGACTTTAAAAAACGGGTTTTGATGTGACATAAATCCAAACAAACCAAATTATTGATAATTCACTTGTTTACTTGTAGGCAATATAAGTAAAATAAATGTGATTTGTTTCACCAAATTTTCAGGAAAAAAAATAGGAAATTGCGGGTTTTTTTTGTATCATTTCTTTAGTAAAAACTTTTGGCAATAATAACATATATATTAAAACGCGTGTTTATTTACCCCTCATAATAATACAATATTATGTTCTATATAAGTATTCGACTAATTTGTGCCGTCTATAAACCACCTGAATCATTGGTGATTAAAAAAAAATGTCCGTTCAAAAGGGAAGAGGAGTACGTGTCTTTCTTGTATATCAATATACATTTTGTATTGTTCAGACTCTTTTTGGGAGTATTTTGTTGAAGATTGTTATTTAAGCGCAAAAAAAAAAAAAAAAAAAAAAAAAAAAGAACACCTAAGAACAATCGGCAATAATGTATAGACTTCCATTCCTTTAGCAGAGTTATGTCTTGTAAATAATTTCTATTAATGTGCCTCTAGATTTCAGAGCCAAAGCATTTCAAGAAAAATCAAACCCTTTAATAAAATGTTTAAAAATTTTTTAAAAAGGGGGTTCCCAAGGAAAATAAGTAAAGGGTTTAAATTTCTATGTTCGAATAAAGGGCCCGGGGGTTTTTCAGGCCATTAATCAACTAACATTTATTACTCGCTGTTATTAAACGCCTGGTAAAGGGTAAATTTTCGCATATCTTTTGACTTCTTTTTGGGTAATTTACGTGGACTGTAAGCGCCGTTTGCAATGCGTTAATTACTTTCTGTGGACACTTAAGAATATTTTACTTTTTTAATACATTTTAATTTTTTTTCTCATGATAATAAGCATAAATCTTGTGACATGCTTTAACAGCAAAAAGCGATAAATCATAAGGTAGTTTTCATTTTTTTAAATCAATTTCCGATCAATTAATTGTATTATTATTTATGAATCCATTAACCCGTGTAATTTAAATTTGCATTTTGGAAAGCCTTTTTTCTGTTGGTGATACTTTAAAACAGTACTTAATATTCCACTCACTGTGTAATTAACCTTCTTTTGGAATGATAAATGTGTGTCTGTATTATTAATACAAACCTTTGATGTAAATACAAGAAACTTTTAAATGATAAATCATTGATGTTATTGACATTTAAATGTCCCTCTTTTAGTAAAGTTCTTTTAATTTGTGTTTTATGTCATATGGTGATTTTTTTTCAATCTGTGACATATATTTAAATGAGATTACTTAGACATTAGACCGATTACCCGTTAACTATTGTTGTTCTTTTTTGTGTGACGCTAATGCAAGGTCACTGAGATCATTTTGTCATGATTGGAATGAAAAGCCTGGACCAATAACTTATGCACAAAATTTCAGATCATCCTCTCGTTTCGTTTTTGATTGCGAAAAATGACCAGAATTAAATTGTAAAATGCGTTTAAACAGAAACACTCAACTTAAATCAGTTCAACGATAGCAAAAAAATACAATTTTCAATTTAAATCTTGGTATGATTTTTATTTACTTTTGCCATTTTTCCGTTTGTAAACCATTTTTGATATCTGTAATAAAATTTATATTTTATGTTTTTAGACTTTTGGAGTGACGGTGTTGGTAATTTACCCTCTTGATTACAGGAGATAGAGGATATTGAATGAGTGTAAGTTCAATACTGAATTTATTGCACGAGTTGAATAAAAATGATATTTTGCGAGCCTCTGGCGAGCATAATATTATTTCATTCAACGAGTGCAATAAATTTAGTAATGAACTTACATAAATGTAATATTCTTTTTATCACATACCAAAAACAAGACCATTTGAAGTGGAAAAATAACCCTTTTTATTGACGGGCCTGTAGTATAACGCTAATATTTAGCGCCCCTTAAAGCTACAATTGTAAAGCGCAAATGACGTCACGTCAAAATATATGCACGGCCGTGCAATACCATATTTACGGAGTCGCAAAATCGGCACGGGTGTGTGATAAAAAGTCATTTTGAATTCAACACTGCATTGAATTTGTTCACCCAGCTAACTGTTCCTGGGCAAGATGTCAAGCAGTTACCAATATATACAGTTATTTCATGGGTGTTTGTGAAACAGCCAAAACTGTTGCCCCGAGGTATCAGGGATGACATTTAGAACTGTTGCCAGAGGCCGAAGAGTTTTTGCCGCAGAATTGCATAATTCTGCGTTACTTTTGCATAATTCTTGCGTTATTTTCGTAACAGCATATTCACGGTGATAGTACATTCTCACATTTGTGAACTGTTGCGGTACACTAGAGGCCATGTGAAATGAACATTTTAGATTTAATGTGATAAAATGTTGTTGTTTTGTTGTTGTTTGGTTCAATTAGCAGGTTATTTTTTTAAATTATCATACAGACATTGCTCAATTATTATTTTACAGGCAGCGTTCAAATAAAGCAAAATTAAAAGTTCGCATGAAAATGCAGAGAAATTGATGCAGAACAACAGTGCACAAATTTAGAAACAAAACCCACAAACAGTTTACAATTACCTGCCGTAATGTGACAGCTAGAATTATCAAACTCGCAGCAAGTTCCAGGAATTGGTGATGTTCCGATGGCACCAAGTCACTTATTAAGGGATCTGAAATAGACAGTATAATTTATATAAATTTGTTTGCACTATTCCAGATATCCTTTATTATCAAATATCCATTTTTTGATTGGCAAAACATTTAACAATGTCCACGCATTGTTATTATTATTTTGGTGTTTCAATAAACAAATAGTGAGAAAAGTAACAGGTATAGTAACCTCTTTTACAGCAATTAAAGACTGTAGCAGCAGAAGGTAAAGTATCTAAATATAGACTCTATGTATCTCAATATAGACTAGGTATCTAAATATAGACTAGGTATCTAAATATAGACTAGGTATCTAAATATAGACTAGGTATCTAAATATAGACTATTATTATCACGCTGTAAAGCCAAATAATAGATTTGATAGACCATCTCTCTATCTCTATAAATATAAAAAACACAGGCTGGTAGCCGGTAAACGGACGGGCATAATTATTGCTCCGCGCCTGTGTGTTGACTATTTTTTTTGTCCATGGACCCGATTTTTATCAATTAATCTCTTCGATTTAAAGCTAAAATTAAATTCAGAAGCACGATTTCCTTTCGATTTCTATTATGTAAAGTCATATATTAGTTTCCCCTTCTGTGATTCTTAATGAATGAGAACGGGAACAAAGCTATAAATAGATAGGGCCTATGACCTAAACATTGAGAAAGTCCGAAAATCTATTTATAGAAGTAGTTTTATTAACCGCTATGGCAAATGAACGAACTGTAGAGTATTGCAGAATGAAATGCAAACATAGTCAACCATAAATTGCACCCTTTATAACTTATCGAAAAAAAATTAAAGTAAATTAATAGCTTCCCTGATTATTTAAATCGACCCCTGTGTCCCGAATTTTTGCTGTTAGAAGTTGATTCCATTTTCTTTGAAGGCAATCGGTTTTATGGTGGTTTGATTTGCCGAATACTGCGACATGTATTTTAACAACAGAATATTATGGGTTTATTGACAGGAATGTAAACACACTGGCGGGTGAGACGAGGATTTTGAAGCAATTCAACAAAATAGTAGATTCATCTCCCAATCAATCAATTAACAATAGCTCTTTATTTATAACCTATGTCAAGTAGTTTTTATATCAAACGTGATGTTAGTGAATTTCCTCATAGACATACCCTATGATACCTGTCTTAAATACAGGTAACAGTCATTCATTGATAAATAATGTTTCAATATATCAACATGCCATGCAAATTTATTCATGATTTTAAATGTACCATTATTTTTGTTAACGTGTATAACAAAAGAAAATCCTGAATATTGTCTTTTAGAAATTCATCCCAAATATTTCATTCCAGTGTGTGTTCTTCTTTCAGTATTCATCTGAGACTTAAAATATAGCTACTGTATATTAAGTTCAAGCCATCAAAAGAAACCATTTTTCTTCATTTGATAGAAAAAATGCCTGTTCTATTACAATATTAGTCTCTTTTGTTACTATTTTTATATGCTGTTTTGTATATTTCTTACAATTATAATAAAAAAAACAGACTTTGTTCAATTTGAATACTGTTTTGTATGTTTCAAAGAAAATACATTTAATATTTTTTATTTTTAGCAAGCCGACCAAAGTTCATGATGAACAATGTTTTTCGTCCGCCCATTCATCTATGATATATATGTACAATTTTGGTAAAATCCAAT